TATACTATCTGATTTTAAGACTTGCTACAATAATCAAGAAGGTGTGATAGTGACAAAAGGCTTAAAAAAATAAAGGGAAGGCCTGGTGTAGTGGCGTACATCTTTTACTCCAGCACTCAGGAGGCTGAAGCAGGTGGATCTCTGTGAGATCAAGGTCTACATAGTGAGTTCCAGGCCAGCTGGGGCTACAGGAAAACCTTGTCTCAAAAACTAAAATAAAGTTTCCAGGTGTGGTGGCACATGCCTTTAATCCCAGTACTTGGGAGGCAGAGGCAGGCGGATCTCTGTGAGTTCAAGGCCAACCTGGTCTACATAGTGAGTTCCAGGACAGCTGGGGCTACAGGGAGACCCTGTCTCAAAAAGACCAAAAAAAAAAAACAAAAAAGACCCAAAAACTAAAGTGAACAAGATGGACATTTTAGAAGGAAAGCATAATATATGGCTAATTGATATTTTTGACAAGGGTACCAAAGTAATTCAATGTAGAAATCAAATATTTTTCAGCAAATAATGTTGACTCAAATAACTATTTAAAAAGAATCTCAACTCCTTACTTACACTATATACAAAAATTAAGTCAGAACTAGCAAGATGGCTCAGCAAGTAAGGGCACACTAATCCTGACCACCTGAGCTCCACCCCCAAGACCCACAGGGAAGAAGGAGAGACTTACAAGTAGTTCTCTGGCCTCTGAGCGCTTGCCATGGTGTTTGTGCCCCCACCCAAATAAATAAATGTAAAAAATAAGTCAAACTAGATCATAAACCTAAACAAAGGAGCTGAAATTATAAATTTAATCATATGAACTATACTATAATGTCATCTTGATGTTAGGTTATGATCTAAGACAAATATTCCTTAGACAACACAATGTGCTAGCTATAAAAGAAAAGGTAACCAACACATTGAACTTGATCAAAATTAGAAACTTCTACCCGGTGTGGTGGCATGCATGTGTAGTTCTAGAACTTGGCTGAGGCAGGCGGATACTGAGTTCAAAGCACTTGGGAGGTAGAGGTAGGAGAATCAGAAATTCAAGGTTATTTTCTGATACATAGTGAGTTCAGGGTTAACCTGGGCTACACAAGAGTCTGTCTCAAATGATAACAAAAAGCAAAATAAAGAAAGAAAAGAAAGAAAGATGATGTGAATGGGTAATTTTCTGTACTTTAAGGTGGGTGATGAGTACATGATACACAGCTCTGGAAAGAGATTTAATGTATAAATCAATAAGAAAGATGCAGCCAAATCTTTAGCCTTAGCCTTTAATGGCTGCGCTATCCCTCTAGCCCCCAAATCTTTAAATATGGAGAAAATGATGAATAGGATAAGGAAAAACAACATCTAAATGCAGATGTTCAATCCTTGTTTATAATGAGAAAAAAACAAATTAAGGTCATGTGAGTTTTTTTTTTTTTTATATCCACTAGATTGGCAAAAATTAAAAGGCTAGTGTACTGGTGGGAACAAAGCCTAAATGAGATTCTCATACCACGCTGATGAGAGTGTAATTTGGTATAATCACTTTTGCTTTGAGATTCCCTTCCACTCCTAGGTATATAATTTAGAGGAAGCCCTGTGCATGTGACCAGGAGACGTGTATAAGAATGCTTACAATGAAGTTATTATCCCAGCAAAAAAAGATACAACTTAAATGTCTATATACACTGCATAATTTGTGGTATAATCATACAGTGAAACATATTCAGAAATGAACTATAGCTACAGAGACGCTTACAAAAGTACAATGTTGGCAAAAGGTATAAGGCAGATGAGCACAGATTGAAAGCATTCATTTGCACAAAAGCAGAAAAATAGCATGGTGTTCCATATGGAGAGTATAGAAAACAAAAATGAAAATCAAAGGCTGATGAGCAAAGAGACAGTATCATTGGGCTGGAGAGATGGCTTAGTGGTTAAGAGCACTGGCTGCTCTTGCAGAGGACCTGGGTTTGGTTCCCAGCACCCACAAGGTGACTAACAACTATTAACTCCAGCTCCAGAGGATCCAATGCCCTCTTCTGGCCTGTGAGGGCATTGCACGCATGAGATGCACATACATACACTCAGGCACACACCCACACACATAAATAAGCAGATCTTTAAGGAGTCATCTTAGTGAAAGCCCCCACCCATGGTTCTGGGAAAACAATGGTGTCTGAGCCCTTGGCCTGCCTTGGAGAGAGCTCCACAGGCCCGTTAGCAGCAAGCCTCACTCTCGAGGTCTCCATTTAGTCACTTTCCATCCACAAATTTTTCTTTCTTTCTTTTTTTTTTTTGGTCTTTTTGAGACAGGGTCTCCCTGAAGTACCAGCTGTCCTGGATTCACTATGGATACCAGGCTGGCTTTGAACTCACAGAGATCTGCCTGCCTCTGCCTCCCGAGAAACATATTCAGAAATGAACTATAGCTACAGAGACGCTTACAAAAGTACAATGTTGGCAAAAGGTATAAGGCAGATGAGCACAGATTGAAAGCATTCATTTGCACAAAAGCAGAAAAATAGCATGGTGTTCCATATGGAGAGTATAGAAAACAAAAATGAAAATCAAAGGCTGATGAGCAAAGAGACAGTATCATTGGGCTGGAGAGATGGCTTAGTGGTTAAGAGCACTGGCTGCTCTTGCAGAGGACCTGGGTTTGGTTCCCAGCACCCACAAGGTGACTAACAACTATTAACTCCAGCTCCAGAGGATCCAATGCCCTCTTCTGGCCTGTGAGGGCATTGCATGCATGTAGTGCACTTAACATGCAAGCAAAACACACATAAAATTAAATAAATACGTAAATAAATAGAGATAATATCACTATTATTTCTTAGACGAAGGGACTTTTTAAGGCACTAACTTTCTCTATTTTAGCTGAGTGATGAGTTCAAGGGAGCTCATTTTATTCTTTGTTAAGCTGTTCATATACATTTTATATACTTTTTAATATTTTATTTATTTATTTATTTATTGGTCTTTTTGAGACAGGGTCTCCCTGTAGCCCCAGCTGTCCTGGACCTCACTATGTAGACCAGGCTGGCCTTGAACTCACAGAGATCCAGTTCTGCCCGCCTCTGCTTCGAGAGTTATGTGTATGAGTGTTTTGCCTGCATGTATGTAAGGGCACCTGTGTCATTCAATGGGTCAGAAGAGGGCATTGGATCCCCTGGAACTGGAGTTACAGATGGTTATTAGCCACCATGTGGGTTCTGGGAACCAAACCCAGGTCCTCTAGAAGAGCAACCAGTGCTCTTATCTTCTGATTCAACTCTCCAGCTCACATTTTATATACTTTTGCATACATATTTCATAATATAAAAACAGTAGAACAGGCCAGGCATGGGGTGCACACCTTTAATCCCAGCACTCTGTAGGCAGAGACAGGTGAATCTCTGTGAGTTTAAGATCAGCCTGGTCTACATAGTGAGTTCCAGGTCAGCTGGAGCTACATAGAGACACTGTCTCAAAGAGACTGAAAAATAAACAAACAGTAGAACATCATTAAATGGAGAAAGTCAATTGGTCACAAAGAACCACATATTGTATAATTCCATGTGTATGAACTGTCAGACTAGGGAAATTTATAGAAACTGAAAATAGATTAGTGGTTCTCACAGCTGGGAGGTGAGAGAGATAAGGACTGAGGTTTAATGGGCCTAAGGTTTCTTTTGGGGGTGAGGAAAGCATTAAAAAATGGATTGTGGTAATGGTTATGCAACTCTGAAAATCCTAAAATCCATGGGATTGAATGCTTCAGATGGGCAAATTGCATGTTATGGGAATTAGATCTCAACAAAGCCTTGAGTCAAAAGCACAGGTGGGGTTCATGGGTGGGTGATGAGATGGCAAAGCTGACAAAGGGGAAAGGGAGACAGTGTTGCACCGTATCGGGGCTCTCAAATTTTAACACGCATCCACATAACCTGGAGGTCCAAACACAGCTTGTGGGACTCTGTTCATAGCTTTTCTGATTTTCATAGGTCTGTAGCAGGGTCGAAAATCCATCTTTCTAACATGCTGATATTGCTGGCCCAAGAACTATATATAGTGGACAATACAGATGACCCAATTAATCTATACTGGATGAGAGATAAATGGATGAACAGGTAGCTGGGTGTCTGGGAGAGTGATGTATGGTAGTTGAGTGCAGAAATTAGTGGGTTAGGGGCTGGAGAGATGGCTCAGTGGGTAAGAGTGTTTGGTGTACAAACATAAGGATCTGCGTTCAGATCCCAGTAACCACCTAAAAAGGTGGGTGTGGCTGTGTGTACCTGTAACTCCAGTCCTGTGGGAGGAGAGGAGAAACAGGAGGATCATTAGGATTGCTGGCCAGATCCTAGTTCCAGGTTCAATGGAAGACTCTGTCTCAAAAAATAACAAGATTGAAAGTGACAGGACACCATCCTCCTCTGGTCTCTGTGCATGCACACACACACACACACACACACACACACACACACACACACACACACACACACACACACACACACACACACACACACACCACAGGCATACAACAAAATAAATCAACAAAATTAAATCAATTAGTTAAGGGATGGATAAAGAGTAAAGAGATGGGCAGCAGATGGTAACTGGATAGCTGACTAGAAGGTGGTTCAAAGCAGTAGAGGCCAAGGTAGGGTTGGGGAAGCTGTAACATGGAAAGTAGTGTTATGAAGCACTGTTTTAGATCCTTGAGATCACCATCAACCAGATATGAGGTGTCTGGAAAATGACTTCATCTCACTAACCTTATTTTTCTCATGTATAAAGTGTAGGTAAATTTTTTTTACCTGTTCTTTTCAATAAGAGTTTTGTGGCACTCATGCCTGTCATCCTAGCACTTGGGAGCCTGAGTCAGGAGGACCAAGAGTTCAAGGGCAGCCTATATCACAGAGCGAGGATCTGACTGAAAAAAAGTGTTAATGTCTATGAATAGTCCATGAGCTAATTCCTTGGGGGAGCCCTGTACACAGTGGCTACTTTGCTTTTTGATGGAATCTGACTATTACCATCATATATCACCGGACTGTACTGTGTCGTTGAGACGAGAGGCTTGTAGTTCAGGTCCATCTTGTTTCCATAGTGACCCATGCTGACCTCGAATTGGATCAGGTCCTTAAAGTTGGGCATCATGGTACAGGAGAGGAAGATGACGCACAGTCCATACTTTTGGCGGTACTGCTGTCTCTAAAACAATAACCCCCACATCTTTAGTAACTAAGCAAAGGGAGGCTATCTTGACAGGCAGGGACATGAGGACAAGGCACACTGTTTCTTGCAAAAGTGATTTGTGTTCCACTTTGGGATGAACTAGACCATCTCTTAAATCTCGTAACCAGCTTCAAGGGTGAATGTTCCCAAGGACCTTTATCACACAGTCCATTCCACCTAGCCAACTCTCATTCTTCTCTCTCTGAACCTGGAGGGAGAGTCACTTTTGTGGTCAAGTTTGGCTCTGAGTTGGGCCACCCCTTCTGTGTTCCAAGTAGTTACCTCTTCCTTTTTGTCCAAAGCTTCTCCTTGTAAGACATGTTGTGGACAGGGTGCGTAGCTGAATTCCCTCTGTCCTTCTCCCTCCCCTCTCCTCCCTCGCCTCTCCTCTCCCCTCCCCTCCCCTCCCCTCTCTTCTCCTCTCCTCTTCCCTCTCTCTGGGGTGCTGGGAGAAAAGGCTGCAGCCAGACCCAACTAACATCTCACCTGCTCCCTAGATGTCCAGGGTCAGGAGACGGTACAATTGGCCAGTCCAGGCTGGGACATCTTCTGGACTTCACTGTCCTCTCTCTCTCTCTCTCTGCCTCTGCTCTCCTTTTTCTACCCTTCTGAGCCCATTCCAGTCATGACACCATTTTAGGCTCCATCTTCAGTTCTTATCTCCTGTCAGTTCACCTATTCTCCCTGGGCCATTGTTTCCAGGGCCACAGATCTAACCATGGTGTGCTGATGACAGCCTGTGTAACTATCAGCTTCTGGGGCTAAGCTACGTGTATGTCTCATAGGCATGGGCTAGAGATGGGATTCATCATCTCCCATGACCCTTTTCTCCTCCAGGGAGCCCATCAAAGACTGCTACTTTTGATCACCCTGTGACCCAAGGCAGAAAATGGGCATGAGCTTAAAGAAGACAGCATAACTTATTATGTCTTGTTCTCAAGGGATCTTGGAGCCTGCCTTCTCTCCTCCACCAAGACTGTAGCCTCATTTCTCTTGACTGAGCTTATTCCCCACCAGCCTGTTGTTTATATTGCTCCTCTCTTGCTTCCAGGGCTCTCTGCCGGCTTTAGAAAGAAATCTAAATCCTACAGATACTCTTCCAAAGCCCTGAGGAACTAGGGTATGAATGAACCTTCCTTCTTAATTAGATTACACTTTCTGAAGCTGAAACCCTGTCTTACTGGGTCCCTGACCACTGGGAATTTGGCCTAGCATGAAAGCCCTGGTGGAGGCTTGGGTAATACTCAATGGATTGATCAAGCATCCTTACACACCCCAAAAATTTGCTGGTGGCCAATGCCTCTTGGAGGGTTAGAAATTGGGGTTCACAGTAGATCTTGGGAGCAGAGGGCCTCCTTTTCTTCCTGGGTTACCTGTTTCCCATAGTTACCTCCACCTTGGTCACTTCATGAGACAGATCCTTTATCACAGTGCCTTGATAGGACTTGATCTGGGTGATTATTTCCACAAAGATTCGACCTCGATAAGCTAAACCATCCTTAATACTATCTGAAATGCACTGGGGCAACAAAGAGAAAGGGGTAAGAGAAAGAGAGGAAAAAAATCTCCCTGGAGCCCACACAGTAAGGCAAGGTTATGTAGAGACAGCCTGCCTGGGCATGGCTCCAACCACAGCTACACAGAAGAATTCCAGATAACCCAGACACCTCCAGGCCCTGACCCCTTCTTCATTCTTCCCACCCACTATTTCTGTTCATGCATTTCCCATGCCAGCTGACTTGAAAGATGTACTATACAAATGCTTTGAGCTTGGAGAGAATGGGATCACCAGAGTGGGTGCACCCAGCCTGGCCAATCAGGACACGTCCTGCCTCCTTGTCAACAGCGATTGGTCCAACTAGAGTGCTTCCCTGGCCTTGTGGCCAGGTTCCCAGCAGGAGTTGATTGTAGCAGGAGAGGAGAAGACAGAGGTTGAGGAGCCACAGGTGGGGTGAGAGAGGGACTGAGAGCAAGAGTGTCCCACCAGTGCACCTGAGCCGGCTCCTTCTCACACAGACTCCCTTCCAGCCTCATTCACCCCTACCATTTATTTATTTATTTATTTATTTACTTATTTACTTATTTATTGTTTATTTGTTTGTTTGTTTAACATAATTATTTTATTAAATTCTTTCATTTATTTATTTTCATTGTACATGTATGAATGTTCTGCCTGCATGTATGTAAGTTCACCCATATCATGCAATGCCTGAGGAGGCCAGAAGAGGGTGTCAGATCCCCTGGAAATGGAGTTAGCCACCATATGGGTGCTGGGAACCAATCCCTGGTCCTCTGCCAGAGGCTCTTAACCACTGGACCATATCTCCAGCTCCTGTTTTAATAAATTCTTATTTCTGTGTGTGTGTGTGTATGTGGTGTATATCTGTGCGTGTGTATGCTATGTGTATGCATAGGTGCCCACAGTGACCAGAAGAGGGTGTCAGATCCTCTGGAGCTGGAGTTACAGGTGGTTCTGAGCTGCCCAACATGGGTACTGGGAATGGAACTTGGGTCCTCTACCAGAGTAGTAAGCACTCTTAACTGCTGAGCCATCTCTCCAGCCCCCTGCCTCAGATTTTTTATAATGTTTATTTATTTATTTAGGGAGACATACACGCCATGGAGCTTGAGTGGAGATCAATAGATAGCTTATGGGAGTTGGTTCTTGCCTTCCACCATCTGGGTTCTGGGGATCAAACTCAAGTCATCAGTCTTGGTGGTAAGAGCCTTTACTGGCTGAATCATCTCACCAGCCTAAAGGGACTGTGACATAGTGTTCCTATGGTTTTAAAAAATATGCTTGGTAAATTTAGCTGAACCTTGAACATGTATGCCTGGAGAGCCTTGTCTTATGAGAAAATTTATGCAAGAACACTTTCTGGGGAGTTATCTCCGGAATACTGGTACTCCCCTAGTTTCTCAGGAGACACCTTTATCTCTCAAGGCATATTATGGTGGTACTGTTATCCTGGTCATATATTTTACTAAATTGCTATGGTCCAGCCACTTTATTACTATTCACTGCTCTGTAAACGTTCAACTGTAGCTCTAATGAGTGTGAGAATAAAAACAGAGCTGTCTGTGTTTTTGGCACTCCTGCGTGAATGAAGATATAAGAGTAAAGAAATAAAACTGCATGAATCCCATGGTCTTTTCTCAGTTCCATGTAATCCATTCAGGTCCTGGTGGCTGCCCCGGCTGGCAGCCACACCAGCCCAGTTTTTTTTTTTAATATTTTATTCATTATTTTTCTTTTATTTTATATGTATGAGTGTATTGCCTGCATGTATGTAAATGCACTTGTGCCATGCAATGCCAATGGAGGTCATACGAAAGTGTCTGATCTCCTGGAACTGGAGTTACAGATGGTTGTTAGCTGCCATGTGGGTACTGGGAACTGAACCTGGGTCCTCTGCAAGAGCAGCCAGTGCTCTTAACCACTGAGCCATTTTTTGAGCTCCTTAGTTTTATTTTTTGAGACAGTTTCACTATGTAACCCTGGCTGGCCTGAACTCACTATGTAGATGAGGCTGACCTTGAACTCAGAGAGATCCACTTGCCTCTGCCATCCAAGAGCTGGGACTAAAGGCATTGCACCACAAAGTCCAGCCTCATTTTTTAAAAAAAAATAGCGAGTTACTATTATGTAAACGAGGCTGGCTTCAAAATCATGATCCTCCTGCCTCAGCCTCTCAGGTACTGAGATTCTAGAAATACATTCCCACACCCAGTTCTCATTCCCTTTTAGATTAAACCAGTTTGAGTTGAGCTTCCAGCATTTGTCAGCAATCTTGAGCAACCGTGTGTTTTTCCATATTTACCCATGCTGTCTTTTCCACTTGTGGCAAACCTTACCTAGATCTCATCTTAGTGCCTTTCCTCAGTGACCATCTAGAGCACTCTGTCCTTTTCTGGTGCTAGGGTTTATGTCCCCTGTATACATGGTAATGTACAGGCCTCCTCTCCTAGAGGGACGTGGATGGAAGCCAGGCAGACCCTCTCTGTGTGCTTCGCAGGCTCTAGCGCTTCACACACAATCAACTTGACCACTACTTTCTCCAAAAGTTGACATGAGAAACTTACAGTGCCTTCTTCTGGGATCCTGAAAGGGGCCTTTTTACCCCCACGGAGAATCAGGAAGCTGGGGCCAAAGCAGGGCAGGAAGCCAGAATACATTCCTAGAAAGAATTTGAGAGCACTCAGGACCCAGGTAGGAGAGACACAAAGGGAGGGGTCCTGGGGTTTGCTTGCCTTCAATCTCCTGGCCAGTGGATGAGATGTGGTTGAGGCAGACACTGACTTTCCCGACCTCTTCCTGGCAATCCCCTCTGGAGCTGGGAAACACACTGCAGGCTGAGCCCCTGACCCGCCTCTGTTTCTCCTCCCCAGTACATGCTGGCATCTTCTAGCCCATTTGCTCACCAGTCCAAGACTCTGAACTTGATGAAGCTAGAGAGACAGGGCAGCTGCAAGGGAGGACAGGGAGCAGTGAGGGCACATGGCACGGTGAGGCCCTCAAGGGGACCTTGAGAGCAATTGGGAAGGCCTGGCTCAGTTCCCATTTAATTACAGACAAGCTGAATTTACCACTGGGCTTATGGAGTTTTCACTTCTGGGCTTTCCACTTACACGGGCAGCTGGCAAAGCTCTGGGCCCCTGTTATATCATCATTTTGTATTTGTGTTTTTTTTTTAAATTTTATTTATTATTTTTATTTTATGTGTATGAGTGTATTGTCTGTATGTATGTAAGAGCACCCGTGTCGTACAATGTCTGTGGAGGTCAGAAAAGGGTGTCAGATCCCCTAGAATTGGAGTTACAGACGATTGTTAGCTGCCATGTGGGTGCTGGGAATCAAATCGAGGTCTTCTACAAAAGGGCTCAGTGCTCTTAACCACTGAACCTTCTCTCCCCTCGTGTTCTTTTTTAAAAAAGATTCTATTTATTTTTATTTTATGTGTACGAGTGTTTTGCCTGTATGTATACAAGTGCACCACAGGAGTGACTGGTGCCTGTGAAGGCCAGAAGAGGGCGTCAGTCTCCTGGAACTGGAGTTAAGGGTGGCAGCCCCTTTATTCATGTTTTTAACATGGACTCCTGTTTGTTTAAACTTTAGGACCAGGGCCAAGTGAAATGGCTCAGTGAATAAAGCACTTGCTGCACAAGCCTGACAACCTAAGTTTGAGCCCCAGAATCCACAGTGAAAGGAGAGAACAGACTCCTTTAAGTTGTCCTCTGATTGACACGTGCACCATGACACATGCCTGCCTGCACACACACACACACACACACACACACACACACACACACACTAATTAAAAATTAAAAGTAATAAATAAATAAAACCAGGACCCAAGAGATCTGGACTCAGTCTAACAATGACTTTCTAAAGATTATGGACCTTGGGGGTAGAGAGATAGCTCAGCAATTAAGAGCACTGACTGCTCTTGCAGAAGACCTGGTTTGATTCCCAGCACCCATATGGTGGCTAACTAACATCCATAACTCCAGTTCCAGGGGATCTGATGCCCTCTTCTGACCTCCACAGACATTGCACAACGCAGGTGCATTTACATACATGCAGGTAAAATACTCATACACATAAAATAAAAATTAAAAATTAAAAAATATTATAGGCCAGGCATAGTGGCACAAACCTTTAATCCCAGCACTGGGAGGCAAAGGCAGGCAGAGCTCTGTGAGTTCAAGGCCAGTCTGGTCTACATAGAAAGTTCCAGGCCAGCTGGGGCTACAAGGACACCCTATCTCAAAAAGACAGAAAAAAAAAAAAGATTATTGACCCCACACAGCCCTCTCATCCTAAATACACACTTCACCAAAACATGCCACTCATAAAGGAGCACAGCTTTTCAAACACAGTAGGGTATCTGTTGTGTCCCAGCCTATGCTGAATGATCTCCAGAAACAAGTTGAGTGGAACTTCTACCCAGGAGTGACTCCATTTTCATGTGGGGAATGGAGGCCCACAGGTTCAGTTTCATAAGTTCTATGCTACCAGGAGCTAAGGCCTCAGCACGCCACATGTCTCTTCCATAAATAACCCTGTGAGGGAGGCCTGTGATTTGTCTCTTTATAGAAATGGGGAATGAGGCCAGGGAGGCAAAGAGACCTGTTTAAGATCATAAGGAAAAGGGTGGAGTTAGGATTGGAACCCCCAACTTTTCTCACATTTATTGTGTGTCTGTATGTGTGTACTGCAGCACACATGTGGCAGTCAGAGGACAGCCAGGGATCAAACTCAGGTCATCAGGCTTGGTGGCAAGTGCCTTTACCTCCTGAATGAGCCATCTCATCAGTACAAACCCTTTTTTAAGGTTAATACTCATTAGCCCAGGCTGCCCTCAAAATTATTATACAGCCAACTTGACTTGTGTCTTCTGTTTCCACCTCCCCAGTGCTGGAATTACAGGTGTGCACCACCACACCTGGTTTTATATGTGATGCTCAGAATCAAATTCAGGGCCTTGTGCATACTAGACAAGCACTCTACCAATTAAACTATATCCCCAAACCTGGAAACCAAATTTGTGATTCTTATCAGCACTCTGCCATATGGTTCCCTAAATAACCAAAGAGGAAAAATAGAGAGGAAAGTCTTTGTGAAAAATAAAGGTGCTGGGGTTGAGGATGACATGGAACACCAAATTCTCTCAGCTGGGGCTGCTTCTCCTGTTCATAGTTCTTGGGGCATGGCTGGGAATCCCCAGGTTTCTACCCTCCTCACCCTTTCTTCTTCTGTCTTGGTGCTGAGGACAAGGGGAAACGAGGAGGGGTCTTCCAGGTGAACACCTGATTAGTAAAAAAGGAAGAAGCTGCCCAGGTAACAGAAAGATTTTGGAAGGGGAGAGATGAGCCCATAAGACATCCACGCCTTCCAAAGTAACAAATCCTCTAAATTCAAATCCACCTGTTAAGAATTCTCTTCCCTGGGCTAGGGATGTAGATCAGTTGTTAAGAGTACTTGCCTAGCACGTAGGGAGCTCTAGGTTTGATCTCCAACACCACATAAACCAGTGCATGCCTATAATCCCAGCACTGAAGAGATAGAGGGATCCTAGTCTACATAGAAAGTCAAGGTCATCCTTGGCTATATAGTAAGTTCAAGGCCAGCCTGGGATTCATGAAACCCTGTCTAAGAAAACAATGACAACAACAAAACAGACTTCTCATGCTGGTCATGGTGGCATGCACCTTTAATCCCAGTCCAAGGGAGGCAGAAGCAAGCAGATCTCTGTGAGATGGAGGCCAGCCTGGTCTACATAGTGAATTCCAGGAAGGCTGTGACTAGGGAAACCTTGTCAAAAACAAACAAACAAACAAACAAACAAACAAACAGGCCCGGAATTCTCTTCCTGTATCCCCATTCTTCATCTGATTCAAGTGTAGGTACATTCTCTTGCCTTCTGTCCTGGGGCCTTCTGACTAGACACTGGCATGAACCCATTTTCAGCAGTGCCTGGCTCTGCTCCCCAATCCATGTGGCTTCAGATGCTACATCTGTGTGCATTCACATCTTTCTGCTGTGTTGTCAAAAGACTAGTGACAGACAGGCTCACATCTAAATGGTCCCAGCCCTAGAGATGGAGACCATGCTCTGGGGGAGATGAATGGGTCCAGGGGATGCTTGGACAAATTCCTATGTTATAAGGCCTCACTCAAGAAGGGAGGGATGTCTTAGCCTATGCTATTAGTTCTCAGCCTGAAAGATGATGAAAGTAAGGAGACCTCATTAAGTCTGTGAGCATCTATATAACATCCAAGGACCTGGGCCACAAACCTCATCACAGTTAGAGGAAGGTGGAAGGGAGCCTAGCAAGGGTAATAGATGGGCTGAACCACTCTAAAATCCCTTCCTCTTTTAAGAGTCTATCAGCCAGAAATGGTGGCACATGCCTGTGATCCTAGTTCTCAGGAGGTTGAAGCAGGAAGAACATGAATTCAAGGCCACCTTGAGCTACAAAACAGAAAGAAAGAAAGAAAGAAAGAAAGAAAGAAAGAAAGAAAGAAAGAAAGAAAGGAAGGAAGGAAGGAAGGAAGGAAGGAAGGAGGGAAGGAAGGGGAAGAAAGAAAAAAAGAAAAAAAAGATGGGAGGGAAGGAGGAAGGGAGAGCAGAATGGAGGGAGGGGGAACAGGGAGGGAGGGTCTGTAAACCATCTAAGGAGGTGGGAGGTATGAGGGATGGTTGAAAATGATGACTCACCAGGAGCCAGGATCAAAGGGGGATGCTTCTAGAAGCAAAGAAGGACTTCAGAGGAAAGAGATGGGGAGCTAATTTCATATTACACAATGTACAGCATAAGAAAGTGATACATTTTCTGGGTAGCCAATAGGTCTAAATTGTCTCTCAGAGCAGTTTGTTCTTACTTTATACATGGCTCTTTGGAAGCCTGGCATGGAGTCAAAAGATCATTAAGATTCTACCAAGGTTTCAAGAGAGCTGTCATCTGCAACAGCAGATCAGTGACTGAGAAGGACCAAAAGGCTAAAGCCTCCAGAACCCCACAGAGAAGAACATCTTGGAGCCAATTAGTGTAGGAGCAAATAGCCCTGTATCTTACATAGCCTAGCATAGTAATTATGCTCTTATAATGCTTCTAGGCCATCAACCCTGAGCTATGATTATATTCAAGGCACTTTGCTAGAAAAATGGGGCTGGGACTGTAACACAGAGGTAGAGTGCTTACCCAGAAAACAAAAGGCCCTAGGTTCTATCTCCAGTACATAAATATATTTGAACATTTATAATACATTTAGAATGAATCTTTAAAGTGTTTTTTTTTTTTTGCCTTCTTGGAGATAACATCTTACTTTTTAGCCCAGGATGACCTCAGGCTCATGATCCTTTTGACTCAGCTCCCAATGCTGGGATAGCAGGCCTACATCACCACACCCAACTCTTCCCCTCCATCTTCATTCTCTTCTTTCTCCTCCTCCACTTGTTCTGCCTGTATCACTACACCCAACTCTCTTTTCTCCTCCTCCTCTTTTTCCTTTCTCTTTGGCTTACACCCCATTCTTTCTTCTTCTTCTCCTTCTCCTCCTCCTCCTCTTCCTCCCCCTCCTCCTTCTATTATTATTATTATTATTATTATTATTATTACTAGTGTGTATGAGTGGGTTTGGGTGTGTAGTGTGGGAGCGTACATATCCATCGGCATACATGTGGAGGCCAGAAGAGGACATTATGTGTCTGGCTCTACTGCTCTCCACTTTATTTCTGTGAGAAGAGGTCTCTTACTGAATCTGAAGCTAGGGTGGCAGTCAGCAAGCTGCACTGGCCCTCTGTCTCTGCCTTCCATAGCACTGGATAGATGTGTTGGGATCTGAATTCGGCTCCTCATACTTGCATAGCAAGTACTCTTACCCACTGAGTCATCTCTTCAGTCCGTTTTCTTTTTTAAAAATGTAGGTGAAAGGGCACATCTAAAATTTCTAGAGTTTACTTGTAAGGCACCCTCACTATTTACTATTAGAAAGAGTGGTATGTCCTGGGCTTCCTCATGCTCTTTCTCAGGCAGAGCCTCTCTTGCTGGCCTTGTGGCCCCAGCCTCTATTGGTACCCCACCCTAACACCAAAGTTTCCTTCTCACTTGAAAGGCAGAGGGGAGGGAGCAGCCCATACCTGAATTTGGAAGGTCAGGATCTGGTTCCATATCGGGTTGTCGATAGAGTACATTTGCTGTTTTGTCCTGAGCTGAGAACATCCCAAGGTTGAGTCAGTGCCAGCCTGTCCCCTCCTCCTGCTACTGGCCTTACTTTCCTACCTCTCTATCTAGCCCACAGGTGGACACTTGCTGTAGCACCCAGATGATCTGATTGTCTCCAATCCTTGGTCTAAAATTGTCCATGGACAATAATTTCTCAGTAGCTGCACTCCCCTCTCCTGGTCCCCATCCCAGTGTTTGTCTCCCCACCCTTCCTTTAACAGTTGGGGATCAAACCCATAACCTCACACATGCTAGGGAAGTGCTCTACCACTGAAAGAATTTTACTATGTAGCCTTGGCTAGCCTGGAAGTTACTATGTAGATAGACCAGGCTGGCCTAGAATTTGTAGTAATTCTTCTGCTTCTGCATCCTTTAATTTTTTAAGTGAACAGAAATAGCGTTACTAAATTTATTATACTAGCACACACACATGTATTTGTTGCTGTTGTTGTTAAATAAAGTCTAAGATTCTAACAGAAAAATAGCTAAAAACATGACTGATGGCAGCAGTACCGCCTGTGTCCCTTTTTTATGAGATAGGGTCTCATGTAGCGCAGGCTGGCCTTGAACTCTCTATATATCCAAGGCTAACCCTGAACTCCTGATCCTCTTGTCTCTCTCTCCCAAGTGCTGGGATTTCAGGCATGTACTACCTTATCTGGCTAGTATACGCTTTTTAAAAAATTGATTGAGCTGGGCGTGGTGGCGCACGCCTGTAGTCCCAGCACTTGGGAGGCAGAGGCAGGCAGAGCTCTGTGAGTTCAAGGCGAGCATGGTCTACATAGTGATTTCCAGGACAGCTCAGGCTACAGGGAGACCCTGTCTCAAAAAGACCAAAAAAATTGATTAATTGATTTTTATTTTTTACATGTATGAGTGTTTTGCCTGCATGTACGTAGGTGTACTATGTGCATGCAATGCCCACAGAGGCCAGAAGAGGGTGTCAGATCTCCTGGAACCAGAGTTAGGGACTGTTATTAGCTTCCATGTAGGTGCTGGGAACTGAACCCAGGTCCTCTGCAAGAGCAGCCAGTGCTCTTAACTGCTGAGCCATCTCTCCAACCCCCCACCACACACTTTTTAAAAACCATAAATTTACTTAATTTTAAAAGCTAGCTTTATTCTAAATATATATATATATATATATATATATCCTTGAAATAAAATGTTACTTGGTCTTATTGGACTTTTTTAGGCATATTAAGGTAAACACGAAAAAAATCAAATTCTTTAAGACATGTGCCACTTACAACCCAAGAACTTTGTTCCAGGTATATTCACACTACTGGGACAGCAATGGTCAGTGTGGTGGCTTTAAATATAGCCACAGATTCTTTAATATTCTTCCTTCAACAATCCCATTCCTTTATGTATGGGTTGAATTTAGTGACCCACTATGACAGATCATAGTGGAGACAAGATTTGTGAATACTGAGATGCAACAATGGAACTTCAAGCTAGCATTCCCTGAATTTGAACACAGGTCCCTTTGCTGCATATAACAGTATCAGCACACTTTGGAAAATACTGCTACTCTGTATCTAGAGAGGTTCATGGAATGCAAGCACTTCTCTTGCATGGAGCTCTTCATTTATAGATAAGGAAACTGAGGTCCAGAGGGCATGGTGATACTTGCTTCATTTACCCATTCTCTCTGCTCTGCACTGTCCTGTTTGGCCTCTAGCAGGCTCTTTCTTTGTGGCAGGCAGTGGAGAGTTAAGACATGGCCTTCACTTCCACAGAGCTCTGGCAGGGCTGGGTACCCTTCTGGGGTCCTGTTCTCCAGCCTTTCTGTTCCTATGCATTCCTTTTCCTAGGGGCCATGTTCTCTAGGTCTCGCTTTCTGCACTTACCTTATCCCCAATTAGTTCCACCTCCACCACAAGATTGACTGACTGTTGCTTTCCTAGGACAAGAAGTTAAAAAGATTTTTGAGGTTGCACATCTTTAAAGTTTTTGTATTATTTATTTGTTGTTCAGGTGAAAGAAATGGAAGAGTGGACAACTTTTAAAATTTCCCCCACAATTTGATTTGTTGTCCTCCAGACAGATCTATCTTCAGAGCCACATAATGGCACCAGTGTGTGTGTGTGTGTGTGTGTGTGTGTGTGTGTGCTGTACAGGATAGTCTCAGGGAACCTTGAGTCTGCATCTGGACATCAAAGTCAAGTCAAGGGCATGGGGCTCATTTGAAAAGTTATCCATGGGAACTTCATAAAACAATTAATGGTGAATTTCGATATCATTTTACTCCCCACTCCAAATCTTAGGTTGGTTAGAAAAAAAAGAAAAACAGGAAATCCCCATGGACAGGGAACCTTGGGGTTGACCCCTCCCCTGCCAGAGACTCTAACTGAAATGAAGGTCTTCTGCACAATAGATGAAGAACTGTAAGTAAGCCAGCTTGATTGGAGCTGAAGTTGATTTGAAGATCTGGATCTGGGTGCCAGCATAGGGTGGCTTTTGATCTACCTAGAGACACCAGAGAACTAGACAGGGTCAGGGTCAGAGGGAAGTCATAGTCAAGTCCACCCACCTTTGATTTCCCAACCACCCCTTTAATACAGGAAGAGTAGATGACCCCTCAGTGACATAGTAGACAACAGATGTGCAGACCGATGTCCACTTTGAAGGGTCAGGGGTACCCCAAGGAAGCAGCCAGGTAAGAAATACTAATGGGGCTTGGGGAGTGGAGGTAGGGTAGCCTTACCAGGGCCTGGTCTCCCACACCGAGGGCACAAATGGTGACTTTCAGGTAGCCTCTCACACCACTGCTGGCCTTATTTCGCTGACAGAGGCCTAACCATTTCCTTAGGAGTGTGTGATCTGGGAAGACAGAGTAGACATTGGAGACTAGCCTCCAGTCTCCATCTCTCTATCCTAAAACCAGTCTTTGTTTATGAGGAAGGTGTGGTAGGAAATACGTTACATATTCTGGTTCCCATCTACTGGCAGAGGAGAAGAGGAGTACCCCCTTCTCCTACCTTAAGCAATGATAGTACAAGGCTGCCAGTTATTGACCCTGGGAAAGAGAGACCCCCTCTTCCTCTCTGGCATCATGCTGCTGAGATTGACTTGGCCTGATGCCAGACATATGGAGGCAAGCAGTTCTCAATCCCTAGAATAATGCATGCTGTGGCCAGTTCAGGGTGGAATTCTCCACTTAAACTTCAATCTCCTGTAGACTACTGGTTACTAAAGACTGGAATGGGTTGGGAGGAATGGAAGAGAGAGAGGATGGTTAATAGGTACAGGGTTCATTTGGATAGGAGGAAATGAAATCTCTTCTGTAGCATAACAAGATGCTAATAGGGTTGACAATAATTGTCTATTTCAAAATAGTAGAGAGGGTATTGAATGGTCCCAATACAAAGAAATGATAACTGTCTGGGGGATGTGCCAATTAACCTAATTTGATCATCTTACATTGTAGGCATATATTAAAATATCAGTCTGTACTCCATAAATATGTACAATTATTTGTTGTCAATTTAAAATGTTTGCTGGATATGGTGATGCAATGCATATAACATTAATTTTGAGGTGGAGGCAGGAGGACCAAAAGTTCAAGGCCAGGCTGGAGAGATGGCTCAGTGGTTAAGAGCACTGACTGTTCTTGCAGAGACCCTAGTTCATATCCAGTACCACATGGCAGCTAACAATTGTCTATAACTCCAGTTCCAGGGGATCTGACAGCCTTTTCTGACCTCCACAGGCATTTTATGACATGGGTGCACTTACATACATGCAGGCAATACACTCATGCACATAAAATAAAAATAATAAATAAAATATTTTTTAAAAGTTCAAGTTTAGCTAGATAGAAAGTTGGAGGCAGGCCTGGGCTACACGAGACCCTGACTCAACAAACAAAAAACCCCTCAAAATAGTGGTGAATGCAGAGACTCATGACTGTCCAAGATATGGAGAATAAGAGGTATTGAGGGCTCAGGGAATAGTGAAGAAGGAGGACATGAGCTGTGGAACAACATCCCTCTTAGACATGGCATGAGGTAACCCAGACTCAGAAAGACAAACATCAAATGTTCTCTCATATGTGGATGCTGACTTTTAATCTCTAGATACATGTATTTCATTTGGAAAATCCATAGAAATCAGGAAACTAGTAATGGGGACAATGCCCTACCAGACACCACAGGCTAGCAAATAAAAAGACCAGTGTTAGGAAAGGGCACCCTCCTTTGGAGTTGTTGGCCAGGGTGGTCCCATAGACTCTCAAACAATAATGGCCATTACTATTGCTCTTGGTTACCCTTCAGAACTTGACGGTAAGACCCTATTAATAAAGATACTACATAATTGAGTTGTAGAGCATGGAGAAATGATGGTACTGATCTTCTAGCTTCACCCCTATTGGATAGCTTTCAGAGTGCTGGAAGGTGCTATGCATGCTATCAGAAGAGAAAAATAATCAATCTTACCTAGCAATGAACACTGCAAACTACAATAACAACTGACCTGGCAAGATATGTCCACTGGTGCAATAGTGTCACAAATGTTATGGGAATAACCACTTTCTAATTGGATTTAAGGCCCACTCCACAAGAGGGAACCCATATTTGACACTTATCACAGCCAAGAATCTATGGCTATACAGGTCCCAGGCCATAGGAGATAACCTACTACTATTACTTGTCCAAATGGATGTAGTGTTAAACTGACCCCTAATGACTTATTATTATAACTACAGATTAGTGCATCTCTCAACTCTCATCAGAGAAGTTTCTTTTTGCAACAGATGGTGATTAACACAAAGACCCACAACTGGTCAACAGTCAGAGAATGAGAGACTGTAGAGTGCTCAGCTCTAAAAACGGCATCTCTATCAGCCTGGCATGGTGGCTCATGCCTTTGATCCCAGCATTCTGGAGGCAGAGGCAGGCAGATCTCTGTGAGTTCAAGGCAAGCCTGATCTACATAGTGAGACTTCCATCTATATCACATCCCCCTCCCCAAAGGCTCAGGAAGCATCATGGAAGAGGGGTCTGAATGATTTAAGAGTCAGAGATGGTGGATGAATACAATGAAATAGTGTTCTCTGGGTACAACAGGGCAGTTATACATGTGAACCCACAGCAGTACACATGCACAAGCATGCACAAGGCCTGCACAAACACAAACCTAAGCCAGACAAAATACCAGCATGGAGGGCGCAGGTGGGGATGAAGTCCAAGCCCTAGCAGAGAAACTTGGCAACTGACAGCTGCTGGGAGAGGGAGAGTCAGTTTTCTTTAAGGGTGTAATGTCAGGTAGATTGACTAGGCTCCAGGGAATGGACACACACCAGAGTATCTGGGGAACACAAATTGAACTCAAGAGGCTTAAAAAAACAAAAACAAAAACAGAAAAAAAACCAGAGGACAGGAAGTGGTGGGCTGGTAGGGAGGTGGAAGTGGTTCTGAGAGGAGATGGGGGAGGGAATTTCGATATGATCAAAATACATTGTATGGAATTTTCAAAGAATCAGTATAAATATTATTTTTTTAAAAAAACTTTGCAGCCAGGCATGGTGGGACATGCCTTTAATCCCAGCACTCGGGAAACAGAGGTAGACAGATCTCTGTGAGATCGAGGCCAGCCTGGTTTCCACAGTGAATCCAGGTCAGCTGTGGCTACAGGGAGACCCTGTCTCAAAAAAGACAAAAAAAAAAAAAAAAAAAAAAACAAACAACAACAACAACAAAAAACCCCTGAAAAATACAAAAACAAAAACAAAAAACATTGCAATCACAAGCTCACAGCAGATGTGGTTACTAGCACTGGGCCTGCCCAAGACTGACCCTGTCAGCGATCAGTCATGAATAGGGAAGGGATTCTTGGGGCCCCATTCCTTACTGCTGAATTATTGACTATTGATAGATTCTAGAAGAGGAAGAACCACTGTGTTCAGTTGTGTACCCACAGCTGAGCCCACCAGGCGCCAACAGATAGCTCCAAACCCATGGTCATACAGACAGCCTTGGTTAAACTCGGTGGGTCACAAAACAAAACAAATAGAAATGTGAAAAAGAGATTTGTAAAGAGGAGAGTGGGTAAATAAGGGTGGGAGTTGGTAAGAGAAGTTGGGGGTAAGAGTAATTAGTATGCATCACATAAATTTATCAGGGAACAAATCTAATTATTAAAATATACAAATAAAAATTTAAATAAATGAGCATGCTTTAAAAGAGTAGAATATGGTGGTGTATGCCTGCGATTCCTTCACCTGGAAGGCAGAGGCAGGTTCATGAGTTCCAAGGCTGCCAGGGATACATAGTAAGACCCTGCCTCAAGAAATACAAAACAAATAGTTTGAAAAACAACAGCTGTAGTTTCCCAATAATAGGCTCAAAAAATAGAAATCCAATTTCGAGTTGCAATAAAAATGTATCACTTGACCCAAAAGAAATGCCTTTTCAGAGAAAGATACAATTATTACAAGGTATGACAAAAGATCCCATAAAGTACAGTAAGTGTTTTCAAATACAGAAAGTAATTCATATCCTGTGATACTTTCCCCTCATTTGTTGGGGAGTCTGAGGCATTTTGGCTCCTGATCTACTTTTTCTAGAAGACACATACATTTTCAGTAACCCTTACGTACCTGGGGAATAGTAGATAAACCCAATGTCTGTCTGAAAAGGCAAGAATAAAGTGAAGATTAGTTATACCTTGGATTGTAACTGTTCCTCAAAGGTCCATGCATTAAAAGAGTGGTCCCCAATTTGACCCTATTCGGAGGTGATGGTGCCTTTAAGAGGTGGGGCCTAGTGGAAGGGCTTTAGGTTATTGGTAAACATGCTTTTGAAGGAGATTTTGGTAATACATTCTTTTCCTCTTTCTATTTCTATTTGTTCTATCACACTGTTCTATAATGTGCCACCAGAGGCCTAAAGCAACAGGGCCAACCTGTCATGGACTAATACCTCTATAGCTGTGAACCAATGTAAACCTTTTTCTGTGTAAAAATTTTGTTTATTATTTTTTTCTGTTTAAGTGTATTGCTTGCATGTATGTAAGCTCACCCATGTTGTGCAATGCCCATGGAGGTCAGAAGAGGGCTTTGGAGTCCCCTGGAACTGGAGTTACAGATGGTTGTTAGCTCCCATGTGGGTGCTGGGAACTGAACCTGGGTCCTCTGTAAGAATAGCCAGTACTCTTAACAGCTGAGCCATCTCTCCAGTACCAGCCCTTTTTCTTAGAAGTTGATTATCTCAAGTATTTGTGTAAGTGAAGGAAAGTGGGAGAGCACAAGCCTACACTAAGATTTGCAATACCAACCAACCCAGTGGCCATACTATCACCATTTGTGTGTGGTCTTAGCCTGAACTTTTAAAATATTTTATTTATTATTTTTATTTTTTTATTTTTTATCTTTATGCATGTATTGCCTACATGTAGGTAAGAGCACCCATGTCGTGCAATGCCTGAGGAGGACAAAAGAGACTGTTGGATCCCCTGGAACATGAGTTACAAACAGTTGTTAGCAGCCATGTGTGTGCTGGGATTTGAGCCCAGATCCCCTGAAAGAACAGTCAGTGTTCTTAACCACTGAGCCATCTCTCCAGCTCCAACTTGAACTTTAAACAAAAAAAAATTTTTATGTATATGAGTGTATTGCCTACATGTAAGTGCATCTGCGTCATGCAATACCCATGGAGGCCAGAAGAGGGCAATGACCTGGAGTTAAGGATGGCTGTTAGCTGCCATGTGGGTGCTGGGAGTCAAACCTGGGTCCTCTGCAAGAGCACCCAATGCTCTTAACCACTGAGCTATCTCTCCAAGTCCTTAACTTGAACTTTAAAAAAGTCTTTACAACAACCTGTAAAGTAGATCCATCATCATCTCTGCAGAGGAAGATTCTCAGTTTGAGACATGTCCCAAAGGCTATTAAGGTAGGAAGCCTGTGTTGGAAAGATCCAGAACACATACTTG